TGTCGGCATTTTGGGTTTACCAATATTAGGTGGAATTTCAAGCTCTCAGTAAGTTTGTTGAAACTTTCGAGTTCCAGGATTTTCTAAATTTTTGGTCTGAATCTTCGACATATCTGAGATTTACTTGTACACTAAGAGTAGCTTAAATGTGCTACTGTTTAACATTATGAGCGCGTAAAAAAACAGGCTTCTGTCAAAACTGGTGTTGAAAATTTCTTCTTCTAGGTATACGTAGCCAGAATTTTTCTGCTCTCATGATTTCTATTTTTCTGATTTTTTTAAACCCTATTTCCACCACTTTTCGTACCTTGCCTGTGACTAACAAAGAATATGATTTTTTGTTTCTAACAGTGTTTTTTTTTAATTTTCGCAAGTTTTTCTCCTTTTTAGCTGTGGTCTTTGTAAAGAAAGGGGCCGCTAAAGTTTATTTTGTAAAGAAAGGGGCCGCTAAAGTTTATCTTCTATGCATACTGAGCCGAAGTCTTATTTTGTTGATCATTTCACTCTTGTGACAGAGAGTAAAACGTTCGTTCTGAACTCTGTTTTTTCAGATTTCAAAAATTTTTTTCCCTTTTAGATGCGGTCGCTTGGCCAGTGTTATTCGACACCCGAAAAGCGACACAACAAAATTTGAGGATACTGTACGAGCGCTAAAATCAGCCGTTAGTTATGCGCAGTGTGGTTGGTGCCAATATGATCCTCCTGATTTGCCACTTCCACAGAAATCCTCGCCATCATCACCATCGCGCAAAATAAAACCACCGGTAATAAATTTTACTAATTTTACTTCGCTGGGCTCCAGAAAAGAAGAACACATCTTTGTAAAAAAAAAAAAAAACAGTGCTCACGTTTATTTACGCAATTTGTTCTTAAGTTTTCACATAATTTATGTGTATTTCAGTACTTTTTTAATTGAAAATTGCAATAAATTTCAAAATAGTTTCAGTGCGAGGAAATCGCTGAGGATGATAAGGCAAGACAGTTTTTTTTTTTTTTCTAGCACTGTTGCACCGTTAACCGATGTTTTTTTCGTTAAAGCACTTAAGATTGACTTGAAGTGATGCGTAATTAAATTGTTAATCAAAAAAATTTTTTTCAATGCACTTCAGTTCACTCGAACCGGAAAGGAATAATTCAACAGTCTTATCAATTTTGCACTTTATTTTTAATCAAACAGCGATAGATCAGAGCTTGACCTTTCTTACTACGATTTTTCGGTTCCTTCTAATAGTTAACTGGTGATAACCTAATAAGCGAGTCCAAAAAGATTCTACTTGCCTTCATCTCGTCTCTCAAGTACAGTTCATGAGGTAGCCTCAGATAGTACGGAAGTACAAGTCTTCAGCACCATGGCAGTGCTTTTACCGGCGTCGGTAAAAGCAATGCCATGGTGTTGAAAATTGTACATCCTTTTCTCCGGAAAATGTAGTAAATGTAGAGGTAGAAACAATGTTATTTTGCCATTCATCCCTTCCAGAAGAGATTAGAGGTAAGGTTGACTGGTAAAAGCACCTTTCTTGATGCCGAAGGCTAGTACGCATCTTTTGCCGCAACAGAGAAGACTGAGATAAATGAGATCGTGTATTGTACTCATCAGAATTCCAATATGCTGACTCCGATTCTAATTGGGACGAACTCCGATTTCTTGCTACAGCTTATTCGCTCAAAAGTTTCCAGAAAAAAAAATCACTCCTAAAATCAAAAAACTGAATTTTTTGAAAAAAAAATTTATTTTGTTGAAAACCCTGTTTATGCCATTTGAGATCATGGTACTACCTCGATTTTGTTGAAAGATCACTGTTGTCTAACAGGTGCGCACTGCATGCTGTCGCACGATATCACAAACCCTGACTCTCGCCGGACCACACTTTATTGCTGTTATCCGAGATTTCAAACTGTTTACAAAAGCTATAGATTTCACTGCACAATGATGCACTGCACAGGATTGCAGTTAGCTTTACCGCATTTGTAAAAAAATCGTGATTGACTTGATCACAAAATTATCAATTGATTGCAAAATAATCACTATTATTTACAGCAAATTAAAGCGGTGGTGCATCCACCGGTGAAACCTGGAAATGGCAAGGAATCCAAAACGTCTACTAGTCGTCGTCCAGCAATTGATCAGAAATCCTATCTAAAGAGCAATACTGTAGCACCGGTCCGTCGTCCTTATCCAAAGATATCCAGCGATCATGTTCCGCCTGGCACCGGTCTTCAAGATCTGTCCGGAATTACAAGGAATCAGCAGAGTTTAAGAATCACAAGCAGTGAACTGCAGCAACAGCGACAGCGCCAATCGGGAGAGGAACAAAACGCGCAGCAAAGAAGGTAAATTATTTCATAGGTTAACAAGTAAACATTAAAGTTAATGCTGAAGTCAAAATCCCTTCCGTATTCGTTCTCAGGGAGACGTAGGGGCATTCAGTAAGGAGCCCGAGTGGTAGCTAACAGCAACAATCCGCTGGCAAGGCCCCTTTTTGCCGGGTGCTAACAAGCAAGCTGGTGGCGGGTTTAACTCCCTGCCATTTATCAGTAATAATTTGCCATCGAAACAAATGAACGAATCATAGAGGGATTAGTTGCTCCACATGTGAAGTTGAATCTTCGATCCATCGCAGTGCTATTCCCATTGCGCCATGCCTACCTAGTAAAGTTATTGACTTATCAATAGTCGCTGCTGAGCAAATAAAATATGGAAAATTATATGCTCTCAAATAAGCAGTGTTGAGCTATTGATGATAATCTCGACATCTCCTTTCGAATGTCCATAAATCTCGGGATTTTCTGAGTGGTATATAAAATATGGCTATTTTGGTGCTATTTACCTAATACTTTAAACTCGTGCAACTTTTGAAAATCTCGAAGTCTTTATAATTTTTAGCATTTGTGCTTGTGAACTTCTGCACGAACTAGAGGAATCAGGATAACGTATATCCGGGCATCATGTAGTTTGTTAATTATTTTCACTTTCCAGTAACGATAATCGACAGCAGCAGAATCAACGACGAATCATAATCCGACCGGATAAAGATTTACAACGACCAAGTAGTTCCCGGTCATCTAAAGGATGGAAGCCATCAACATTTTTGAATCGAATCCACCAAAATGGCAGTCGACAACGGAGTAGAACTCGAGAGCAACAACAACCACAACCACAAGGACAAGACTATTTGCAACAGCAACAAGAGCACCAACAACGACAACGGCAACAAGAAGAGTACCAACAGCAGCAAAGACAAGAATACAGACAGCCACAAGAAGAGTACCAACAACAACAGCAACAACAACAACGGCAGGAGCAGCAGAGATACCAACAGGAACAGGAGCAACGAAGATACCGTGAAAGGGAGCGAATTCGGGAAGAACAAAGAGCTGAACTCGAAAAGCAACGTCAACAGCAAGAAGAGCAACGTAGAATCCAAGAGCAGCGAAGGTTGCTGGATGAACAACGACGTTTGCAGGAACAGCAGCAACAGCAACAGCAGCAGGTGCAGTAATTATTCGCATAGTAAAAGCTTCTGATAATTAGTTACAAGCACATAATCATCGACGTTAAAGAATGGCTATAATAGGGTATTCTATAACAAGGTATCCTGTTTCCGTCGAAGAATTACCCCTTGTTCGCTTTCATTCCTCGCTCCTTACCCGTTTGCACCTTAAAACTTGTGATCCTTTAACAAAAGTGGCATCTGCTAGCGCTTCTAGATGATTTGCTCAATTTCGTACTTCTTTTTCCAGGTCTT